TTTTTATTTTTAGTTTAGTTTTTGAGTCTTAAATTGTGTTTTAGGGTTGATTTGTGAGTTTAAGAGTATTTGGGTTAAAGGTTATATTAATGTTAGATTTTTTTTAGGCTTTTATAAAAACAAAGGGTGGAACATTAATCGGTTTCCAAACCCAGGGCACCACTTGTAGTTTGGACATACCTAGGGTGGGCTGACTGTTGCATCCCAAGCTCAATTGAAAAGAGTGTAGTAATTAACTTTACCTAAACTTTTGTCTTATCAACATGTGGTGAGCCCTGTTGCACCAGTAGCCTCTGTCTCTTTAAGCTGAAACAATAGTACAAGACTATTTGACAAATTGTAATGGAAGTTCGTTGGATCCTACAAATTGACATAATGAACAATCTATTTCATAATCTTTCAAGTTATAGTAACTCATGGGTACCGGTTTAGGCGTTATATTGTTAGACCTTGAATTTAAATTAGATTATAAAATAAAAATTTCATAAACATCGTTTCATAACAATAAAAAAATCCACAACTTATATGCAAAAGACGACAACAAAAATAGTCTATGGCTATTTTTGTCTTTTTACAAGAAGAATTAGGACTTAAATGCCTTTTTATTGTTATTTTAACGGTGAAATTGAAGAAAGGGTTAACGTTAATGGTTTTACAAACCCAGGTACCACTTGTAGTTTCGAGATACCTAGGGTGGGAAAAGGTTATTCGACCTTTCAAACACAATCTTCAACTAGTCCACTGCATATAATGTCAGGTGGCCAGTTGTTGCCTGATGGTGGCTAGAACCCGCCCAAATAGATAGATCATCGATCGGTAACACCTTACGCATCGGTGGTGGTTCACGGTGATGGTAAAGGTTCATAATCAAATATATTTTTTTGTTTTTTTTTTTTTTTTCTTTCACACTTCTTAGTCTCTTCCCACCAGATTGTGATGTGAAATAAAGGGAAAAGCTGAAATTCCTTTAGACTTTTTTTACAAGTTCATTCTCTTAGACAACAATGCAACTATGAAGTGCGCTGCCCATAACGTACAAAAATGAAAAGAGAGAATTTCCATTTGACCATAGGTGAGCCAAACTTCATCACATTTGATTCCGTTGCTTAATTTCAAATATTGGTTGTTCCACAATTCGTCAATAATTGAAGAAGAGAAATATATGATCGACGAAAAGTCATTATGGAAAAAATATATGAAATGAAATTCAAAAGAAATTTTATGGGCAAAAAGGTCGTTGTGGAAAATTTTTGAGCAGAATATTACGCACATCTCTCTTTTTTGTGTAACTAAACTTTCTAGTCCTATCATTATCTTTTCTCAAAGAGTCTTGTATTTCTTTTCTTTATGGCTTCTTCTTCTTCCACATACCAAACTAAATATGATGTTTTCCTCAGTTCAGAGGTGAGGATTCAAGTAATAGTTTACAAGCCATCTCTACGCTGCTTTGGTCGAAAACAATTGAAACCTTCATGATGATGAAGGACTCAAGCGTGGATGAAATTTCACCTGTGCTTTTGAAAGCATCGAAGACTCAAAGATTTCAGTCATTATTTTCTCAAAGACTATGCGTCTTCCCGATGGTGCTTAGATGAACTAGCAAAGTCCTTGAATGCAAACGAATGATGGCCAAATGGTTATACCAGTTTTCTACAGGTAGATCCATCACATGTACGTAGGCAGACCGGAAGTTTTAAGGATTCTTTTGTGAACTGAAGAGCGCTTCAAGAGATGAAGAAAAGATTCAAAAATGGAGAGATGCTTTGGCTGAAGCTGCCAATCTGTAAGGATGGTTCCTCTGTCACCAAGTAAATCTATTTTCTCTCATATCTATATCATATATATCGAAATATATGAATGAGTCTTTGTATTTATTCATTTAGAGGAGAAACTTATTGAAAATTTCTCCAGGTTTTGTAAAGAGATGGAAAACATGCTTTTGAATTAGTTTTACCCTTTTAGATACTCACTTTCCATAATCCAAAATTGGGATGAATCGATGATATTATTCATGATAATCAATAATTAATTTGAACAGAATTAAATTTTATAAGGGTATTACACTATTATATTAGGTACAATTTTTCGGTGAAGAGAATACTTTCTCTTTAGTAATAATTAAAAAATTCGCATTGTTATGTAAACAAAGAGCCCGCTTTCAAAGAGGGGACGCTGAGTAAGTTGACTTTATATCATTCAGTTTGCCGTGGAAGTAGGAAAAAGTGTATTTTACTTGTGTTTTTACAATTTTTTTTTTTTTTTAATTTCTTTTGCTTTTGGTGGTTGATTTCTACTTACACCATTGTTAATCTTCACATTGATAGGCCCAGGCACAACTTGTGACAAAATTGTTAAGACATTTTGGGAGAATTAAGATACATCATCCTCTAATGTTCTGGCCTAATTGGATTAAATTCTCGCATCGAGCAAGTTAAACATTATTATGCATTGGGTTGTTTGATTTTCGAATTTTAGGAATTGGAGAATGGGAGGTATAGGTAAAACAACCATTGCGGAGCCGTTTACAACCAAATTTCAAGCTCATTTGAAGGTTGTTGCTTCAGTAATAATGTTAGAGAAGAATGGAAAAATATGGCTAGTTCATGTACGAGACCAGTTCTTTCACAGGTATTGGAAGAAAATCTCAACATAGGCACTCCTATCATACCACAATATATCCAAGGCAACTTCAACGCAAAAAGGTGTTCATTGTCCTCGATGAGTAAATATTTAAGACATTAGAATTTTAACTGGAGGGCTGATCGGTTTGGTCAAGGAAGTAGAATCATCATAACAACAAGAGATAGCAAGTGCTCCATAGTTATGGAGTGCATAGCATATAGAGGTTGAGGGATTGAATTACAATGAAGCTCTTCACCTTTTTTTAACCTGCCTTCAAAGAAAATCATCCCTTGGAAGATCTTCGGGAGCTCTCGATCAGATACTAAATTTTGCCAATGGCAACCCACTGGGTCTGAAAGTATTGGCGCCTCCCTTTACCAAAGAGCAACGAGAATGGGAAGTGCATTTTATAACTTAAAAATGCTTTGTGATCCCCAAATCTATGATGTGTTGAAATTAGTTATGAGGGATTAAGTTGGAAAGAAAAAATATATTTCTTGATATTGCATGTTTTTTAAAAGGGTGTAAAGATTATGTTGCAGAATATTGATGGCCATTACTCTTTCGATTTTGGATTAAGTAGCCTCATGAATAAATCTCTGGTAACAATATCGGGCAACAAGCTGCAAATGCATGATTTATTACAAGAAATGGGCCGGGATATTGTTTTCAAAAATCTATAACAGAACCTGGCAAACGTAGCAGTTGTGGGATCATAGATGTCTACCACATATTGAAAAACAATGTAGGAGTCTAACTAATTTCATTATATATATATTTCTTATTGTTGCATCAATCAAATGTTAAGATATTCAGTTTACTGACATCCATTCTAATTTTGACTTGTTCCTTACTTTTGTTTATCAGGGGACTATTTAGTTGAAGGTATATTCTTAAATATGTCCAAAATAAGAGATTTGAGATTAAGTTCAAGAGCTTTGCAAATATGTGTAATCTTAGATTGATTAAATTCTATAATCATGCCCTTTACGAGGAGTCTGTGGATTCTCCAGTAAAGCTTCATGGAGGCCTAAATATCTTTCTGATAGTTGAGGTATCTCTATTGGGCTGGGTATCCTACGAAGACTTGCCGTCAAAATTTACCCCGGAGAACCTTGTTGAACTTAAATTACCTTGTAGCAATCTTAACAACTTTGGAAAGGAACAAAGGTACAATTATTATTCAATACATCTTTCTTTCGTTTTCTTTTTTTGATATATAACTAACAATTTATCTTTGATGCAGCATGCCTTCAAGTTAAAGTCAATTGATCTTCATAAGCGAAAAACCTGATTAGATGCCAGACCTGTCAGAAGCACCCCAACTTGAGATTATAACTTGAAGAATGCAGAAGCTTAGTTGAGGTTCCCTCATCTATACAACATCTGGGTAAACTCAGTTTCCTATGTTTACGGGCTGCGAAATCTTAAAAGCTTTCCAAGTAACATTCATTTTCTCTCGTACAACTCTTGATCTCTCCTTTTGCATCAATCTCATTGAGTTTCCGCAGATTTCGGGGAATATAAAATCTATTTTTAAATGGGACCGCAATTGAAGAAGTTCCTTCTTCAATAGAATGTTTAAGTGAGCTTGTATTACTAGACCTCACAAAATGCACAAGGCTTAAGAGAATTTCAACTAGCATTTGTAAATTGAAGTTCCTTCATGTTCTTTATCTTTTGAACTGTTCTGAACTTGAAAGTTTCCCAGAAATCTTGGAGGAAATGAAAAATTTGGTAGATCTTAATTTAAGTGGAGCAGCAATTAAGGCACTACCGTCTTCATTCAACATCTAATTGGGCTTCGTTCTTTGATTACGGATTGCAAGGATCTTCAGACTATTCCAAGCAGCATTTGTAATTTAACATCTCTGAGTGAGATTGATCTTTCAGGTTGCTCAAAACTTGATATATTGCCAAACAACTTGGGGGATTTAATATTTTTGAGAAGGCTTAAGGCACCAGAGCTGCTATATGTCAACTTCCTCCTCTGTTGCAGGGTGGAACAGATAAGAGTTTAGATTTATCTTCTGCGCTTTACAGAAATTCCAAAACATCTCTGCTGTGCATCCCATTGGTATCATTAGATTTATGTGGAAACTCTTTGAGACCCTCCCACCAATTTCAAGCAGCTTTCTCGGCTGAAAAACTATACTTAGAGAGTTGCAATATCTTTTATCATTACCAGAGCTTCCATTATGTCTAGATACATTGAGGCCGTAAACTGCAAGCGGCTTCATTCACTACCAGAGTTTCCTCAAATCCTGCATCCGAACTTGAAAGAGTATTTGAAAACTGCAGCTCAGATCCATTTTGGATGTAATTTCTTGTTACAAACTGCCTGAATCTAAATCAGAAAGCTCGTCAATATTTGGCAGATTCACACAAGAATTCAACTTATGGCAACTACTTACTCAGACTGGCTACGAAAAGGTTACTCTCTCTCTCTCTCTCTCTCTCTCTCTCTCTTCTCTTATCATAAATCATAAATTTTCATATTACAGGAAGGTGATGAGATACCGACAGTCAGTTTATGTTTACCTGGAAGTGAAATTCCTAACTGGTTCAGATATCAAAGTTTAGGATCTTTAGTAGCTATTCAGCTACCATGCATTGGTGCAATAGAAGATTCATCGGATTTGCTTTATGTGTGTTGTTTCCTTTAATGAGGGAAGTTGTTATGAGGAAGCAATTTATGTTAATTGTAGTTACCAATTTGAAAGCAGTTACGGCGATAGGGTTCACTTCCGTTGCAATTTCACGGTTGGTGCGGCCTTGCAAGATGGCATGATAATTGAGTCGGATCACTTGGTATTGGGGTATAGTCCTTGTATGGATGTTAAACTACTTAATGGTGTTCATACAACAGCCTTATTTGAGTTCAACCCAATTAGAAAATATCCCGTGGGGAACATCAAAGGTTCCAAGGTGAAATGTTGTGGTGTCTGTCCTCTATATGCACAACCTGATGTGATCGAAAACCACATTTATGTTGAGAAATTGGCAACCATAAATCAAGATTCTGGGGAAGCAATGCTAGAAGAATACACCAACGAGCAAGCTGACAGATTTGGGAGTTGCTGTGGCGGATCTGATGCGGAACCGGAACCACATCCTAAAAGACTCTGCAGAAATCAAATAAAGAACCAAGAGTAATAGCAGTGGCTTAGTGCTCTTATATCGTTCGACTTTGGGGACTTCTTCTTGTTGGTTTGCTAGACATACTCACGGTTTCTTCCTCTAATTTACTGGTAATTCAACTATCAAATACCTCAAATTTATTTATAAAGGTTATTATACTTTTTTTATTTTTGGTTGTTGATTGATTTATGTAGATTAAACAAGTTATTTAATTAGAATCAAAGTACCATGTAAGTTAGCACTGCATATTTTAACAATATTATAACTAATTCAGCCCTTCTATTTTTATAGAAACAAAAGTTCATGTAATTTATCTTTTGTTTCTGCATTTTGTGATTCCTTTTAGGTATTCGATCTGCTTGTAGGATTTTGTTTTGCTACAAATTTAACCCCACTTGTGTAAAACCCCATTCTATATATATATATATATATATATATATATATTCTCTTTGATTTTGTTTATTAGAAGAGACTTTTCTGTCAAATTTTAAAATTTGGTTGGGGATGAAAATGAAGAAATGGAAACTGTTGGGTTTGAATGGAAGATGGGCACAAAATCTGGAGGTTTCTGTTAGTAAAAGATGATGTGGCAGGTTTATATAGAATTAAGAGAATTCGGGGGCTGTTGTGCAAAAAAAAAATGTTTTATATAAATCTGGGCTGCTCATGAAGAAGAAGAAAGCCAAAGAGAAGGGAAAGAAGAGTGAAAGAGAGAGAGAGTGAGTGTCGGCTAAGTAAGGAAGGAGGAGATCTCACAAGTTTTTCTTCAATGGGTAACATGCATGTGATTTTAGAGTGCATATCATTCCACCATTCATACAGTTTGTGCATTTCTTTTTCTCTAAATTCTTGGGTGCTTCGGGTTGTTAGGTGGAGGAGAAAGGCAAGATCTTTGAGGCAGCTGGGCTTTTCGGGTTGAGCTGAATTTTTGTGAGTGGATCAATGAAAACTTATTTTCTAAAAGCTTGATTCCTTGTTACATGTAATGTGTTGAAGTTATTGTGGTGTCTAATGCATAAACCTTGATGTGTATGATACATAATTTTGCTTTAATTGTTCGGTTGGTTTGGAGTTTATGTGTTGCGTGTTCAGTTCGGTTTTTTAGCGGAATACTTGATGAAAAGCTGGAATTTTGGTGAAACTTTATGCTAATTTGAATTACATGTGTCGGCTGAACAAAAAGAGAAGCTTGCATGTTGGTTGATCTTAGCCAAAAACATTGGTGGAAAACTGGAAAACTGGGTGTCTTGTACATGTTATGCAATAATCTGACTTGTTTTTGGGTGATAATTGGGCAGTCCTGGCTTGCATGTCTCGGCTGTCTTTTTATTTATTGAAATGGTTGCTGGAAGTCTATATATATATACTTGCATTTAGGTGGACAGTAGGTGGGAATTGTGCTTGGGTTGCGTTTTATTGAAATGCTTACTAGGTAATACATTGCATGCACTTAGTTGGAATACCTTTGGAAAATTGATTGGTTTGTGTTTAGAAAGTGTAGGAATTTAAGGCAACCTGGGTGGAAGTGTATTCCGTATTGAGTAATATTTTATAGAAACTATGAAATAGTGAGTCTTGGAAGTCAAAGAAAGTACTTCTCATTTATGACTGTATGACATTCCTTGGGATTAATGGTTTCTTATATATATATATATATGTGCTTGGGGTAATGTGCAGCATGTGAATCTTGTCAAAAAAAAAAAAAAAAAATTAAGTGTTTTATAGTATGAAAGTGGTACATGCACAAGACTGGTGTCGGACATGCCATTGTGATGGGTTGTTGAAGAAATTCTAGATCTGGGCTAAACCGTCAGTTTTTGAATCATGTTTAAAAAATTATTGTTTCACCCCTATATGTGATTTTTGAATATTATGTCATATATACATGATTTATAAGCACATATGTAATATGTTCTTGACTTACATGTTACTTGAGATTACGCATGGGATTGTTGTGGTGCTAAAACCACCATACAAAGTACCCATCCCCCAGTTTCAGGCTCTGCCCATGCGATACAGGATTCGCATGCGTATTGAGAAATTCGGTCTTCAAGCTCTGCGCATGCGTATTGAGATACTTAGTGCGCTACCTAGGCTTTGAGTTTGTCCACCAGGTATTGAGATGGTTTTCTTCAGGCTCTGCTTGCGCGATGATAGATCTTGCTAGGTATTGAGATGTTTCTCCCAGCTCTGCCTGTGTGTGGGACGCCCACCATGTATCGAGGTTTTTTCCCTAGGGTACTAGTCGTGGTGAGAACCTTCAGTATCAGTTTACTGTTTCAGAGTAGGATATCAGTTTATAGTTTTCAGATACCGGCCTACTGTTTTCAGTATTAGTTAATAGTTTCAATAACAGTATCAGAATCAGCTTTCAGTTCTAGAATGTTCAGTATCAAATTCAGTTTTCATTATCAGAACAGTTATGGATAATTTGCATTAGTTATATGAAACATTCGATGTTTGTACCATGATTTATAGAAAAACATTGTTTTCAGAAGCATAAGCATTTACAGCTATACTTTAAGTTCTCATAAAAGAGTTTTTAGCATTTAGTGATGAGCTAGGATTCATAAATTGCTTTCAGTTTAAATGATCAGATTACAGTACTTAGAAAAATTAGAAACGAGATATGCATGCATACATGAATGATTAGTTGCTTCCATAACATGTTCATAGAATCATGTTGTTTTCAGAATTTCATAAGAACTATTGCATGCCATAACTATTGTTGAAGATATGTTTTGCAAACTCCCCTTATCCCCACTCACTGATTATTTCAGCTCACCCATTTTCAAAAAATGTTTTCCTCCCCCCCAGGTTTACAGGGAGATTGTGCTGAGCAGTGAGTCACCACTCAACGTTGTGCCACGCGTCGGCGTCTTCTCATGTGTGTATTATGGCTTATATTACAAAAATGGGCTTCTATTTTCTGTGATAGTCTTATGTTTTTGCTGTAATTACACAAGACTTGATACCTTGTTTCTAGATTTTTCATGGATTACGCATTTATGTTTTCCAAACCTCCTAAATATGTTTATGTACCTATTCATACTTATATTTCTAATTACATTTTCGTACGGATTATTTATGCATAGTATATTCAGAAAAACAGGATTTCAGGTTTCACAGTTTTTCCATATGACACATCTCGGTCATCCGAATCTTGTGGGAGCGCTCGGATCCTATGGGATGAGGAAGGTTGGGATGGGTCGTGTCAACTTGTGTTTTTATCTGCCATTTCATCAGAGATTTGATTTCTCATTTGGAGGAGGTGTCTGGTTGCTTAATTTAGTTGGTTGAAGACCAATTTTTCCGGATATTATTTGGAAGTACAAAGATGGGTTCTTTCTGCTGCATATGCATCAATGTGCTGGGACTTGGATTACAGTTGCTGTATTTGTACTTCTCTTAAATGACTGTATCCCATAGATGGTTTTAATTAAGTCATGGATAGTTGTTCTTCCCATGCTTGATTATATGGGGAGGGTAAAGTATTAGCTTATTCACTGCCCCTTAGCTTTCGTAACTAATTTTCACCAGTTCCTGACCTGAACAAAGGACCATGTTTAGTGTTAGATGTTTAAATAAAATGGATAGCTAATAGATATTATTTACGACTGAATATGTATGGATTGAATATATAGTTATAGCAATACATTCATTATTCATAATTATATATCTATTTGTTTATTCATGATTGAAATAAAGTTTGTATTATCAAAATTTGTAGGTTGAATGCTTGATCAAATTTGTCTTCTAATTCCATTTAAAATTGTTCCACCATTAACTGTTTATCTAGACGATCTAGAACTTGGTATGAAATTTTATTAACTTGAAATTCTAATGTTGATAGGTTCCTGTATGGTTAAATGTGCAAACCAACATTACCTTATATGTTTGTTTTATTAAATAAAAAAAAATCTGAACAGCGGATGAAAAGACATGTCTCGATCCGCCCTGAAACGTTTAGCAAGAAAGAGAGAAAGTTCCCAGGCAACGAAATTGGGAATTTGATGAACTGATTTTCATTAACTATCAAAGAGTGCTTTGGGAGCTGAGTTTCAATATTAAGTGCAAAAGCACACCGTTTCAGAGTAGTTACTTTTACTTGACTACTTAAGCAGAACTTAACAACCTTAACAGAAAACCTGAAACTATTTTACATTTTTAACCCACATTCTCTTACTTACAAGTTCAATTTAAATTTCAAACCAGACCATAATATAAAAAAATCAAATAACAATTTGAGGTATTATTGTTCTTTTTAATTTTAATTTTAATTATTGTTTGTTATATATTTTTTTTTTCAAACTTTAATCTTGAATTTATATACGCATTTTAATGCAACTTAAATTACATATGTTTCTTTGGTCAATGATTTTGGATTTCAATGATCTTTGCCCAAATGATAGGGGTATTAATGTAATTCCATTCCCTTTAAGAGACATCCTTCTTCGGCGATTTGAAATTCTTGCAATAAAGGAGTCAGATAAATGTGAACTAAACTAATTAAGACAATGATTCAATATTGTTGTGCCATGAAATCAAATTTTAGTATTCAAAATGCATAAGTCCCACATTAATTAAAAGTAAAATCGAGTGGAGAACAGTTCACAAATTCTTACTTTCCAAATAATCAATAACAAATGAGCCAAGTGAGCTCCCATTTTCACAAAACAAAACAACCCAATTTGGAAACCTTTTAATCGGGTCTGTGATCTAATGAATTCATTGACTATGTTATTTGATGATTACTTCATAATTTTTCCCTAGTTCTTCATTTAAAAAAAAAAATTGTCAAGTGAATTGATTTTTGTACCTAAACTTATAATATTGTTGAATTTTAGTACTCTCTCTAAAGTAATTTGTTTACATTCATTGAATTTCAACGATTCCATCATATCACATTGTTGTGCAGTCAATCCTGGAGCACAGATTCACACCATGTGTCATTCTGTCTTAGTTTAACTTTATTTACAAGTTTGTTAGTGTAATTATATATAAGTTGACTTTTCACCCAAATTGGAGAATCTTCTTTGGACATCTCATTCATACTTCATGCAAGCGGCAATTGTACACAAAAAAACAGAGAAAGCAATATAAAAATAGTAAACATAGGTTTTGCGCCTAGCATCCAAACCATTTTAAAAATCTTTTATTGTTTGTGTTTTTGACTCATTCACTGATCTCACATCAAATAATAGATTTCATACAATCTCTTGCATAGGTTTCATCANAAAAAAAAAAAAAAAAAAATAGAGAAAGCAATATAAAAACAGTAGACGTAGGATTTGCGCCTAGCATCCAAACTATTTTAAAAATCTTTTATTGTTTGTGTTTTTGACTCATTCACTGATCTCACATCAGATAAAAGATTTCATACAATCTCTTGCATAGGTTTCATCACCGATCTTGCGTACTTCTCATTGGTGCATACAGCATCAACACATATCATAAATTTGTTATCTACAACTTAAAATTTCAAAAACATTAATAGTAAAGAATGAATAGATGAGATCATTTCTAATCTTGATTTAATTACAACATTTTTTAATTCAAATTCCTATGTAAGATTCTGCACATTGCAGTCATGAAAAGGTTTTTATTCATACAAATGTTAATGATAAATTTCACTTTCTTTTTTTACTTCACTTCTAAGTTACAGGATTTGAAAGGCCAGTTGTTTGTTGATAAGCTTTTTGAGAAAGAGCTATACAGTTTCTTGGATTATGTTTCTGGTAGGTTCAAGCTTAATTTTATGCTTGCATCTGGCTTTATGGGTAAATAATCGTTGCCACTATAATAAGAAAATATTATATAATCTTTGACTATAATTCATTGTATAGTTTTCCTGGTTTTGTACTTGCTTTTTCACCTTTACCTTCCAGCCGTGATTTCACTCACTTTCTGGTGACATCTCACCTTCCAACCAGCAGATCCATCATCTCCATCACCTGATCTATCTTCCCGTATCCTCGGATCTCCTCTTCGTCGATCGCCATCATGAGCCGCCGTGAGCCGCCGTCGAATTCCGGTGAGTTGCGTCTGTTCGTCTTCCAGGAGTTCCCTTGGTCATTTTCATCACTTCTTCGCATCATCTCGTCATCAGTTACATCCTCTTCTCCATGATAGCTCCGTTCCCGACGTTCCAGCCTTTGTCGACACCACCATGAGTGGCTGCGCTCCTAGTTGCCTGTTACGGTGTAGGCGAGATCAGGATCGACACTCATGGATCTTCTCGGCAGTTCTCGACTAGTTGGATGAGCCCGAATGTTAGACATTTGGTTAAGTTTCTTGTATTCAGATTATATTTGTTTTCATTTTAGTTTGTTTGCGATGCTTTAATATTATTCTGATGCTCGACATGCTGAATTGATAATGTCCATTGAGAACGTATGTTGACATATAACTTTTCACATAATTGAATGTTGGTTTGAGATTATTGAGTGTTTATTATGAATTTAAATTGCTTCGGTACTAATTGCAATCAAGTTATATTAGCGTTTAATATCATTTCTACGAGGAATGCATTCGTTGTGTAATTAGTTGATTGGATAATACAAGTTGATAGGTTGTACTTGTTAACGTTGTACCAACTAGTGGTGTTTAAGGGTTTAGCATTTTTCGGTTAGTCGATGATAGTTTTTGACCAATCGATCTGTAACTAAGATGACAGGGAGACAAGATAGATTATACCTAGATTGCCGGGAGATGTTTTTATTGATTTGCCTAGCCTTGTAGGTTTAGAAAATTGAAGAGCGAGGAGAGGAATTGTGAGAGTTGGAATTGAGTCAAACCGAACCCATAGTGGCAACACTTTTAATATTATGTTTTAGTTAGCAATTTATTTGATGTTTTTAATTTCTTACAATTAATTAGTTTCCTTGGTTTTAATCAATCAATTTGCCAATTTCTCTTTCGTTAACTCAAATATACATTAGGTCATTGGTCTTGCTCTCTGTGGATTCGACCCTACTTACCGCTAACTAGGGTATTTAGGATTAATTTTGTGGCTGTGATGACCCGTTAGACCAACTTCTAAGATTTTGATATAAAAGTTTTATTAAAAAGTAGTATTTTAATTTATATTACTACAGGTCTGTAACGTAACAAGTAATGTAAGGACTCTTGTTTATTTTATTATATTTATTTTTGTCTGTATTTCAGTTAATATATGTCATCCACTTTTATAAATCAAATTTTATCAAGAATTACAGTTCTAAGACGATTAGGAAGTGTTTCATTGTTGATGCGTGGCCTATAATTTCTGAATTTTTATTCATTATAGCAATTTTGTAACATGTTTTATTGTTTTATTAATTTAATTTATTATATCATTACTATATTGTCGTCAAGATCCATACGAAAATGAGAAGCATTATGGTCTTTAAACAAAAAATACCTTTCTAGATAACTGAATCTAATAACCCTGAAATAGTAGGGTTAAATCAACTCTTCTCTCTCTCAATTCTGATCAATAGATTTACTGTTTACATTTTGAGTTGGGCTGAATATCATTGTAATATTGTACATCATTTCAGACATCCGCTGGTATGTCTCCTTTTGAAATCACATATGGAAGGGAGCCTCCGTCCTTGTTCAATTATTGTGCAGGTGAGAGTGTCATTGTAGCGATAGACCAAGATTTGCACAGTAGAGATGAAATTATTTCCCACCTTCATAATAATTTGTTGAAAGCTCAAACTGAAATGAAAATTCAAGTAGATAAGCATCGCAAAGAGGTTACTTTTGAGGTTGGCAACAAAGTTTTGCTCAAACTATAGCCATATCATCAAATTTCTATGGGACACCGGTCATCCAACAAATTGAGTCTTCGATATTATGGGCCATTAGAGGTGGTGGAACCAATTGGTTCTGTGGCATATCGACTTCGGTTACCTGCTCAGTCTCGTATTCATCCGGTTTTTCACTGTTCACTTCTCAAACCATTCTATGGAGTATCAGCTACAACTATCCATCCACTTCCAGAAGATTCTGATGCCAATAAGCCTTGTCATAAGCCATAAGCCTTCTTGTCGGAAAGGACCATTTTGC